TAGATAACAAGAACGCATCAATGGTCCTCCTCAATCACACTGAGATCAACATTTTCAGTTCTTTGGCGTTTTTGAGCTCTAAACCAATCCTCATCCAAGATGAGCGAAAAAGTGTCTACTGAAGTCCCAGGTAGTAATCCCAAAGGTACTGAACACCAATCTTCACCATCGCATAGCGTAAATCTGTTGGCTGATGTAGCTCCGGCACTGGATACGATTTCTCGGTCTAAAATATTTCGATCATTGAGTTAAGACGCAAACCACGGCAAAATAAGAAATGAGATTAGCGATAACCAGTAATATAACGATATTATAATGGTAAAATATTAGGATTTTTGAGAAACATGATGCTCGTAACCTTTTCGAATAAGACGTTGAAGATCCTCCAAAGTTCGAACGCTCATCGAATCGTCAACTGCACAAAGCGATTCGGATAGTGTGATATCCATGATACGTCGTACTTGACATCGACGTTTTTCGCTCAGATTTGGCACCTTTGCCATGACACTGAAGAAAATAAGGATATTTGAAATTTTCAAAGTTTGCAAAATTTTACAAAACTGGGAATCAAGACTCACTCAAAAGTCAACAATTTATGAAATATGTGCGAGAATTTCCGTTTGAAAAATTTCATAGAAATCACCAACAGCGAATTGGAAAAACAGCATAGATAAAAACAAACAGCTCAGTGAAAATTAAAATATTAAAAGGCAACTCTCAGGTCACTTCATGGCTAAACAAATGCATTATTTATTTGTTTCAGGTTTATGAAAACTTTAAATATCTTTTATTTAGTCGTCATGTACAAGAGAATGTGCATGCATAGTTAAGAAAAACAGACAGAGACACACGCAAAAATTCCATTTGAACGTCATATTAAAAGAACAATATTACTTTTAAAAGAGGCGTCACCATTGAAAAATTCACTAGGAAGAAGTATATTATTTAACAAAGAACAAGCATCTTAAGAAAAAAATGATTCTTACAGAAACTGAGACCTACAGAACGTCCAACATATTACTGTCCTAAACCCTAATCGATCGTTTATGAAAAAAAAA